GGCAGGTTGAACTTCCTCAGCTGGCGAAGGAAGTACAACCTCTGCTGGGCCTTTTTAACAATGGAGTCAACTTTAGGATATTAAGTAAAGATCATGTTGCATGAAGATATTTTGTAAATTTCCTACTGTAAATATATCAAAACTTAATGTTTTATTAGTAATATGCATTGCTAAGAACTTCATTTGGACAACTTTAAAGGTGATTTTCTCAATATTTAGATATTCCAGATTTTCAAATATTTGTATCTCGGCCAAATATTGTCCGATCCTAACAAACCATACATCAATGGAAAGCTTTCAGATGACGTATAAATAAATATATTTTTTTAAATGGACCCTTATGACTGGTTTTGTGGTCCTGGGTCACATATTGTAGTTCATGGATGACTGCTTTGAATTATATTATTTGTACATTTTGTTTCCTAGACTTCATTTGGCTCGTGCCTCAGGACTTGTTATTATGGGTTTGAAATTCGAAATAAATTTTGCATATGGACCTCACTGATGCTGCTGAGTTAGTTTTAGCATATGAAAGTTTTTGTTTGTTTGTTTTATTTTTGATTTTGCTCATTTAAATGCAGGTTTGTGGTTTGTTATGTTGTTGTATTCCAGCCATCAAGATCTGTTGACATTGACATTGAATTCCCCACTGAGCGGCCTTGAGATCTGGATTATTCAGTAGAGACTAGACACACGTGCAGTATAACAGTAAATCTTTCTGTAATGGAACAAACTGAATGCAAATACTTTGAAAACAGGTTTTGATGTGCTCTAGTTATATTTGTGTAAGCTAAATCAGCAGTGGTCTCATTGTGTGACCTAATATGGTATTAAATGTCTTTATTCTTGCTATGGCCAAACACTGTAATGAGAACTCATCGTCAGAGATTTGCATCATCCGTTATTGTAATGAAAATAACAAAGACAAGATCGATTTTAAAAGAAAGAAAAGAGGCTAACCCAGTTCAGGCAGTTTCTCCAGTCGCTTCATGCGTCACAGAAGCTGATAGACATGTTTACTCAGTCATTTCCTGGTCGATTCTGCGGTTCTTTGCTGTGATTACTGGAGGTTTGATGCTTCAGTAGCTGCCTGCTTCAAGGATTTAAATGAAACAAAAATCTGAAAAAAAGGAATAAATATTTCCAGATCTGGATGTAGGTGAGTGTCGTATGGAATGTTTTGCATTTCTAGATTGCATTTAGATTAGGATTTTGCATAGTTCTGATTTTAAACATTTCTATTGCAGAATTTGAGTTCTGAGAAAGTAGAAATATGTACATTAATTTGAGAATGTCTTAATATATCAATCTTTAGCTTTAATTTGAAAATGTTTCAAAGGTCATCTTGCATTCTTCAATGCAAATGCTACACTTTTTAGAAGTTCACGTAATCAGTAATCATTCATTTGTGTACATTTAATTAATTCTAACCTATAAATAGCGAAGAATGTTAAATATTCATCATTGAATGCAATTTCTTAGTTTCTCAACATCCAGTATATTTTCCAGGTGAATGACAATCTGAGATTTCCAAACTTTTGTCCTGCACTCTTTATATGATTACTCTGTTATACTAATATTTGTTCAGTCAGAATTACATGATTTCTCTTTAACAGTGATGCATTTTCATATTTTGGTGTTTTCTGCAAAAGTTGATGCCAGTAGGATGACAGGAAAACTAACACAGATGCCATTGAGAGAACAAAATACAGCTGAAAAAAGAGAAAAGCGGAGAAAGGAAGCGGCACTGAGAGACGAAACCAAACCTGCGCAGAAGGAAAAAACAATGAAGAGAGGGAAAGAAAATGCCTGTGGATTCAGAGAACACCGAAAAGTGCACCGGATGAACAGCCTTGACAAATATCGACCAAAGTGTAAGAATGCTTGAGATGAGTTTCAGATTTGAACTCAAATATATGAATATCTCATGATGTGGAGGTTTTTCACCAAACACTGGAACATTTATTCATAAAAGATGAAAATTAATGGTACAGTTTACCCAAAAATTTAAATTAGCTGAAAATGTACTCACCCTCAGGTCATCCAAGATGAGTTTGTTTCTTCATCAGATTTGGAGAAATGTAGCATTCATCACTTGCTCACCAATGGATGTGAATGGGTGCCGTCAGAATGAGAGTCCAAACAACTGATAAAAACTTCACAATAATCCACAAGTTATCCACAGCACTCCAGTCCATCAATTAACATCTTCAGAAGACAAAAGCTGTGTGTTTGGAAGAAACAATTCCATCATTAAGGGATTTTAACTTCACACTTTTGCTTCAGGCCAAAATGATAATAACACTTCCTCCAGAGAAAAAGTCATTTTGCTTGAACCAGGAGAGAAATCTGCACAGAGCAAGCACCGTTTACGAGCCAAAACAGTCCACTGCAGCTCTAAACAAATATGTGGCTGGACAGCAGGAGATGGTAACACTTCTGAAGATGTTAACTGATGGACTGGAGTGTTGTGGATTATTCTGATGTTTTTATCAGCTGTTTGGACTCTCATTCTGACGGCACCCATTCACTGCAGAGCATCCATTGCTGAGCAAGTGATGTAATGCTAAATTTCTCCTAATTTGAACTCATCTCTTTCTTCAATCTCCAGCGGGTGAGTCCATCTTTCAAAGCATGAAGAAAATTTAATGTAATGGCAGTTTTGATTTTGGGGTTGAATATGATCAGGAAGGTTGATGTGATTCACTCAAACAGTAGCCTGAATCTTTGTTTATTTGTTGTCAGTAGAACTTGCACAATTGGTGGCTGACTAAATACTTTTTTGCCCCACTGTACATGCGTTTAAGAAGATGCTCCTGGTGTTTTGTGACACTGAATTGCCATCTAAAACACTCACAAAAACAATTTAATGCGACTGACAATCATACATGAAAATCTGCAATAAACTACAAATTGAATTTCTAAGTCTTGATAAAAGCACTTTTGTTTAACTGCAGAAGGTGCCAAGGAAGCTCAAGCATTTCATTCATGTTTGCTCACTTTATCATTCCCAGATCAGAGTTTTGACTTGGTTGTTTTCACAATATTAATAAATCTAATCTTGAACAGTAGGCCTACAGCATTTGAACCGCACCCTCCCTGAAGCACATGATCCAGATAACCACATTTACGTCATGATTTGTCAATCATTGTGCATTCCACGAATGTTTTGATTGTACACTGTCGGAAAATTATGAAGTAAACTTCCATGCACATTCTACAGTTAAAAACCCCCTGCAATTCTCAATGCTTGGGTCACTGGTCTGATCTGATGTGAACAGCAGGGGAAAATAATGCTGAACGCAAATAATCAAATGCAACTAGCCAAATAATTATGCATAGTTAAAGATAGAATAAATTACATTAAAAATAACAAAATAAATTAAGTAGTGGAAACTGAAGTAATGTATACACTGAAAAAAGTATTTTTCAGAAGGTTCACCGAATATTCCAAATTAACATTCGTATAGCCTAATGTTTTCAATATGAAAAAATGGAATGTTCGCATAATAGAAAAAGGATAGGCTATTTAAAATATTCTAGACACTGGATGTATATCGATAACGTTTGCATAACGCTCTTAGAACATATTTCTTTGAGCTGGGTATCACTTCTGATGTGGTTTATGCATTTATTGTCTGTTTCCCATGTTCACCCAATTTCATGGTAGCCTAATCATTTTGAATATCATTTAACCTAAAACAACAGAGCACAATGCATTGTTTTAATATGAAGGAATTTTTCGTATTGATAAAAAAAAAAAAAGAAGTGTTTCACTTTAATGTGTAGCCTGCTTTTTTTCTGCAGAGCATTGTTTTTTAAAGACATTTCGTCAGAGTGAAGTCGCAGTTAAAAAACAACTTTTGTCACTGTCAGAAAAGCAAGTTATTTTTTCCGTAACATAATAGAAAATCTGAAAAGTTATGCTTCTCTTTGTCAAATTATTTATTACTGTAGTATATTTTTTCTTTACAATGTCTACATCGACTACATCTTTTTTTTCATCCTTGCTCCTTGTGTTTATTTATTTATATATACATATATATTTTTTTCTTCTCCGCAAAGAAACGCAAAGTTTGTTTTGACAAATCTAGTTTTGGTGATTATAATTGCTCTCTTTTTCTCTTTAGGTCACTTCAGTGCATCCAGCTTGTTTTGAGCTCTTCAGCTCCTTCATCTTCATCTTCTTCTGTCATCCATCAGTCAGTAAAGTCACAGTATCTGCTGGACACACTCGTGTAGCACAAGAGGATGCTTAAAGAAAAAAGTTTACCCAAAAATGAAAGTTCTGTCATCATTTACTCACCCTCATGTTGTTCCTGTATGAGTTTTTTCTTCTTCTCGTGAACACAAAAGGAGATATTTTGAGGAATGTTGGTAACCAAACAGTCTAAAAAAAATAATATATGCAACTGTTTGGCTATCAACATTCTTCAGAATATCTTTTTTTGTGTTCAATACAGGTTTGGAACAACTTGAAGATGAGTAAATGATGGCAGGGGAGGTGAACTATCCCTTTAACATTTATAAAGTCTTGTGTGTTTGTTTTAAGTGAATGACAGCAGCATATTTTACAGTAAATACATGTAAAACACTGTATAGTTGTCATTTACTCAAAATGTATTCTGACGTGAGTGTTAATCTCTGCAGTGTTTTAAAGCATCGCTGTCCTTTTGCTTTTCTGTCATGGTGTTTGATCTGAAAGTCTCAGAAAACATTTTTGACTGTTCACTGTAATATCGCTGCAACTGTACGCTGCTTTACTTCTTTTATTTTTATATTTGTATATAACTTGTATATAGTTTTTATAAAATAAAAAACCTGTGAGGTGTGCATTGCATCTAATGGTAGACATCTGTCGTCACTTTGTAGTTGTGTGGATTTGTTTAATTACATTTGAACAATGAATAAGAACAGAGTGCTGCAGGTGCAACATATTTTTTCTAAATACACATGCATTTTTTCCTAAATGTGATGGGTTTTTGAAATAAGGTCTGAGGTGGATGCTGATGAAAGATTTAATGACAGAGGTGAAGAACACAAACATTTTGCAATAATGACTTAAAGATGAATCCGGAGTAGACATTTAGCAAAAAAACAACAACAAAAAAAAAACAATCTCACCACAGTACAACTGAAAAACTTTAAAACATTTTTAATGTAAAAAAAAAAAAAATATATATATATATATATATATATATATATATATATATATTTGATGTCCAGTAAAGCTGAATCATGTAAATCATGTTACTTAAGGTCTGAGGTGGATGCTGATGAAAGATTTAATGACAGAGGTGAAGAACACAAACATTTTGCAATAATGACTTTAATAATGAGAATAAAGCCATCTCACCACAGTACAACTGAAAAACTTTAGAAATTGTTTAATGTAAAACAAATGTTTGATGTCCAGTAAAGCTGAATCATGTAAATCATGTTACTGTGGTTGTGAAAAGAGAAGGACAATGCTTGACCAAACTGCCACCAGACTCAAACTTCACTACTAATTTTAGCAAATCACCCTATTAGATTAAATTACTATATTCAAACAAATTCCATCTTCTTCTTAATCTGAATGTCAAATTACTTGTAAGTCATGCATCTAAATGTGAACTTTGCTCACTTGGACGACTTCGGGCAATGGTTTTTCATATGAGCCTGTAGACTAGATGAGACAAAACTTATCCCACATGAAGAGGACTGGTACGGCTTTTCTCCAGCATGAACTCTCTCATGTTTTCTTAAGGTTGATGAATCAGTGAAACTCCTTCCACAGTGTGAGCACTTGTAAGGTTTCTCTCCAGTGTGAATCCTCTGGTGTTTTTTTAAGTCACTGGTTGTAGCAAAGCTTTTCCCACAGTTAAAGCACACATAAGGTCTCACACCAGTATGAATGCTCTGGTGGACTTTTAAAGTGTACAGACGTGTAAAACTCTTTTCACAAAAAGAACAAACGTGAGGCTTCAAACCAGTATGAATTTTAAGGTGGTCTCTTAATGTCGATGCCACAACAAATGTTTTATCACACTGATCACA